AAAAAAAAAAAAAAAAAAGCATGAAATGTCTTTGAAACCTCCTGCTTTGGTCTACTGCATAATATAGCAATGTTTATCTTCCAGTAAAAATATTTTCCTCTGAATATTTACATAAAATGCGAAAGCTGTTTCATACTTATTCTGCATTGTTCCAGGTTGGGGAGCACGGGCCTCAACAGTGGTTCTTTACCTTACCTCTTCGCTAATTCGGCTCATCCTCATGAGACTCTCAAGTAACTTTTCTACACCATAGATCTAACCATGTCACTAATCATTATACAATTGAATAATAATGTAAATATTAATAATAATGCAACATATAATAATAGTACTATATAATATAGTAATTCTTATTATTATGATAGCTGAATTAGGGTGTGAATATTACGTGCTAGACACTATACTAAGTTTGTTTTTTATATTATCTTATTTATCCCTGTTTACAGATTATTCCCATTTTGCAGATAAGAAGACTAAGCCTTTGGGAGAATAAGCCACTTATCCAGGGTCACAAGGGTCATCACGGTTGTAGCCAGAATTTGAATCCAGTGCAATTTTAGAATTTAGGTAGTAATTTCCCACACTCCCCACTTAAACAGCTCTGAGGGTTTCTGCTGCTTAATCAATTCAAAATCACTGGTACATAAAGGTTTTTCAGTGGATCTATCCTATCCCTAGTGCCTCATTTCCCCTCAATCCAACATACGCTGTGCATAATTTCATCTAGCCACATCACATGCGTCTGCGTTCCCCAAAGACTCGTGGCTTTCATGCTCCTGTGCCTCCCCTCACCACCCTGTAGGTTTCCCTGCCACAGAACTTGCCACAAGTTTACATACGTCTCCCCAACTAAACAGCAAACTCCTCAAGGCTGGGGGCCATGTCCCGCTCATATTTGAAACCCTGTGTCTAACGTATAGTAAGCACTTGAGTAAATAATGCTCAGTGAAGTCTAATTATGTTGTTTTATTTCCCTCATGTTATTCCTTCTATTTGGCAAACATCCTGCTCCTCTGAGACGCAGTCTTGCCCCCCGCCCCCGATCCTCCCCACTTCAGATGCAGCGTTAGGTGGTAGATGAACTCAATGGGTAACATGCAGTGTGAAGTTTAGTTGCAATGGTGTCTGTTTATCCCACGAGATTATGAGCTCCATAAGGGTACGACCCACATTTATTTGCATTTTTTCATCTTCGTCATTCCGGTGGCTAATGTGGCATCTGGCAGATAGTAGGAGGTCAACTAGATGAGTAAATAAGTCTAAATAGGGTGCCAGTGTGATTAGACCTTGTTGCACGTCCTTTCCTCTCTGGTAATTCATTTTATGTGATCCCATCTACGGGGCAAAATGCAGAGGTGTACTTCTAATCACCTGTTCATGTTACTATTGTTATTTCTAGCAAAATGTTATAGAAAAAGAAAGTTAAATTTATTGCTTGAAAATCAATTAGAGGGTTCCTAAGTTCTCTCTCTCTAAGAAAAAACATGATTTATGGTCCTAACAATAAACTTACCAGTTGTATGGCACAATGCTTTGTACCTGGTGTGGCATGGTAAAAGTTGAATGAATGAACAAATGAATACAATTGTTAAGTTATACTTTCCCAGCACAGTGAAGTCAATGTAAGGATGAGAGAAAAGACATGACCTGGGTGGGACAAACCTGTGCCCAGCGCTCAGTTGAAGAGTGTAGCAGACAGAATCCCAAGGTCCCAGACCCCAGTACACATACCTTCCCCTTGAGTGGATGGGACAGTAAATATGGCGGATGTCACTCCTATGATTAAGTTACTAATCAGCTGACTTTGAGGAAATGAAAAGGGAGATTCAGTTAAAGCCTTAAAATGGAGAGTTTCTCTTGTTGGCTTTCAGGAAGAATGCAAGCGGCCAAGTTGCGAACTGCCTCTGAGCAAGAATGGCCTCTAGGAGCTAAGTAAGGCTCTCAGTCCTACAATTACAAAGAATTGAATTCTGCCAACAACAGAATGAGCTTGGAAGAGGACCCTGAGCCTCCGATGAGACCACAGCCTCAGCATGTAGCTTGATTGCAGCTTTGTTGAGACTACAGCAGAGGATCCAGCTAAGCCATGCCCAGACCCCTGACCGACACAAACTGTGAGATAATAACTTGTGTTGTTTTAAGCTGCTCAATTTGTGGTAATCTGCTACACAGCACTACAGAGCTAATACAATGAGTGTTCCATAACAATTCTATACACCTATTACATTACAAAGACTAATCCTATTACTAAATCAAGTCGTCTTTGTATTTTATTTGTCTTCCATGAAATCTTTCTTTCTGATGAGGTCCTGCCCATCAGAAGCACGGTTTAGAGTAGCATGTGAATATCAGCAGTGAGTATGTCTCTCTCACTAAGGTTTGCTTAGCTGGCTCTCCAAATTATAGAGACACTGGAGATACTGATGTGAATTCCCTAATCAGTAAGTCCAGAAAACATTTATTTTTCAGCTGGGAAAGCCATTTGCTCAGCCTTGGGCTGGCATTTGGGGTTATGGTCTTTCACTGATAATAAATATACCCCCCAAATAAAATGATAATAACCATGACAATAGGTTAGTTGTTTTAGTTTTGAATCTGGGCTCAGAGGCAATGATTCAAACGTTGTAACCAAAGCAAGAAAAAGACCCCATCTGAACATGATTGTCCTTCTGGTGCCTACTGGAACAATCTAGGCAAAGGCTGGTGGAAGTGAAAGGAACTGTGTACAAAGCTCGCCTAGTTTTGTGTCTTTTAGAGTCTGACCTTCAACTGGGCACAGTAGAATTACTGCGAGAAGATATCCAATGAGACAATGATTCTGCTCCTCCCTTCTCTCAGATTTGTTTCTTGAAAAGAACCCAGTCTGGACCCAACTTTTCCTTTTTTCAGTATCTGCCAACATAAATACCAACTCCAGCATTTTAACTAGGGGTTACCATGGGGATGTAAGTAACACATGCAGCATGGCAGTGGCTGCAGCACAGAGGAGGGACCCAGACAGAGGCCACCAGTCACTTGTACTTTGTGGAACAGGCTGCATTAAAGAAGCCACGCTGGCAGCAGGCCATGGGGGAGAGGGCTGCACAGAGAGTCCTGCTTTAGGGTGACTTTGCCTACTCCCACTCCATCACTATGCCCAGCTGGGAAAAACTCTCCATTTTTACTTTCTCTTAACTTACTCTATGGAATTCTGTTGGCCCAGAGACACAATTTGCTGCTGGTATTCTCATTTTGTATTCCATGCAACAAAAAACACACTGAATAAAAGGGGGAGTGTAGGAGAAGAGGCCAGGCAGTTGCAAAGAGGTCCACGATCTGTAAAGACCACAGTTGTGAAGAGCAAGAGGGGGGAAAAATGCAGGTAGGACAGTTGAATAAAACCTGATTTCAGGGGTGAAAAAATTCAAGAGGGATGGCAGATGTTTTTGTCTGACTGAAAAGAAACAAAACTGTAGACTGTGAAATGGTACACTGACCCTCACATAGCTAGTGTTCTAATAATAAAAATCATATTTTGGGGTTATTTTTAAAAATTGAAATGTGAATGATATCTGAATTCATAGATGACTAATTTAAGACAAACTATAGATGGCAAATCATACCCACACTCAATAATTGTATTTGCTAGATCAATTATCAAAATATTCTTCCAGAGTGGGTGAAAGATAGGATTATCACCATCCTGCAGGCGGGGTAAAAGAAGCAAAAGGAGTCCAAGGGATTCATGCAAATCCACTGGTCTAGAGAGTAGGGGAATTAGGAACTGACTGCTTGTTATCTGGTCTTAGTTCTTGCCTTTTTCTAAAGGACCTTCCTACCCATGCTTTTCTTCAACTGAATGCTTTGAACTCACAAGTAAGGGCATGAACAGCAATGCCAGATAGAAAACGTCAAATTAACTGGGCCCATTTTAGACCACCTCCTTGCCCCTCTACGCCCAAAGTACCATGTCTTATTCATCTCTGCACTCCTAAAACTTATGCCCGAGTGTGGCACATGGTAATCTCCTGATAAATATTTCTTGAATTGAATTGAGTACTTTCTCTGCCTACACATAGTGTAGGAAAGACCCCAACATTTAAGGATATAGAGGTGACTTTCTTGGACATATGTCACTGCAGTGTGCTGATAAGATGACTACAGGCCTATAGCTATGAGATATATAAGAGAGGTACCCAGTACTAGGAAAACAAAACAAAAAAAATCCTGCCTGCTCTTTTAATGTAGCTAAGTCTGCCTTTCTGCCCACCCAGAGGGAGTAGCAGTGGAAATAAAAATCATCTCCTCTGAGCACATATTTCCCTGGTTCTGTGTGACACCAACGGCCTACCCAGCCTCGTAGCCCTCCTTTCCCAGACCTGAGAACCGTCCTCAGGCTACTGCTTGGCCTGGCATTGATGGGGTGAAACGGGAGCCCCTGGAGAGGGCCAGCCCATGAACTCCAGCGCCGTGCGTGACTCACCGCGCATCCAGAAACCGGGAACGCAGGATCATGACGGCCTCGCACGTGCTCTGCTTGAGCTGCATCTGGATGGAGCTGAACTTGCGGTGGATGATGCTCACCATCCGCTCGATCTCCTTCGGGGAGATGGGCCGGGTCCGGCTCTGCTCTCGCAGGAGATTCATCACGTGAGTGGTGAACTCGTTGCAGGCCTGGAATGGTAGGACAGCACACGCATGGGGTTATGCAGGGTCCGAGCCTCAGCACGCACCAGGTCTGGGACGGAAGGCTGGGTGGGCTTTTCTAGAGACTTGTGCAAATAAAGAAAACTAGGAGAGTTTGTGATATTTTGTCATATCAGAAGGGTGGAATAAATGACTACCTAGAAAACCCCCTCAGCCCTGGTGGCCCTTAGTTTTGGCCATGATGTTGATTTTTTTAAGGGGAAAAAAATTCCTAATCATTTTTTTCTTAATGATTTTTTCCGTGATTTTACTATAATGAAAGGTAAGAATACGAATCCTAGTATAAAACATACTTCACCACCCTTTGCCCCAAAACTAACAGCCAAGCAGCCAAACGGAGTTTGGGATCAAATATACCATGAGCCTTCTGCCTTGCTCATTTCATTATCTCTGGCACAGGAGAGCTTCCAAACATTCAATTTTGGGATGCATAAAGAGCCAAAAGAATTTAAGTGGGATCATGGAATTAAAAGCTTTGATAACTCTTCTGGGAGATTTCTCACCAATCTATTTCTATTTCTACTTTTATTATAAGAACCCTTCTTGTGCTGGCCTTCTAAAGATCCACTATGGCTATAACACAAAGGGAATCTGTCTCCAGGGGCCTCAGAGAAACAGCTTCAAAACATGATTTAGAGCTGCAGTCCCCAACCCTGGGCCATAGACTGGTACCAGTCTGTGGCCTGTCAAGAACCAGGCCGCACAGCAGGAGGTGAGCAGTGGGAAAATGAGCAAAGCTTCATCTGTATTTACAGCCACTCCCCATCGCTCGCATCATCACACAAGCTCCGCCTCCTGTCAGATCAGCAGCATTAAATTCTCATAGGAGCACGAACCCTACTACAAACTGCGCATGCGGGGGATGTAGGTTGTGCGCTCCTTGTGAGAATCGAATGCCTGACGATCTGAGGTGGAGCTGAGGCGGTGATGCTAGCACTGGGGAGCAGCTGCAAATATAGATTATCATTAGCAGAGAGCTTTGACTGCACAATAAATGTGATGGGCTTGAATCACCCTGAAACCATCCCCTCACATCCCCCAGTCTGTGGAAAAACTGTCTTCCATGAAACTGGTCCCTGGTGCCAAAAAGGTTGGGGACCACTGACTTAAAGGATTCAGGAACGATCCCTGCAAGAATAAAAACTCTCAGCCCAACATACCATCAGCTCTGGAAGGAAAGCAGGAGATCACATTTCCCCACCTCCCTATTTTATAGTCGGGAAGACTGTGGCTCAGAGCGGTGAGGGGACTTTTCCAACGGCACAGAGCAAACAAGAAGAGGCCGAGGCAAGGCCTGAATTCTTTGCATTCCAGGCTAGGGCCTCTGGTCCTTTCCCAGAGCCTAAACTTGCTCCTCTGAAAACTCCTGCCCTCTGTTTTAGCCACTAAGCATCTGCAGTCTGGTTTCCTTAGCTGGGCATTCAACAAAACATCTATTTACAAATGAGCTCACAGTAATGCTGTAAAACTGTGTCAGATCTGCAAGAAAAAGGCAAGATGATGCTTTGAGAGTTGAAGAACTAAGGCCTCAAAGGGCTCCAGCTTAACATTAACTAACAGCAGAAACACGCTCATTATTGATAACACTGTATTGCTGTTGTTTTAATAGAGCAAAGCCCTTCATACGTGTCAATAATACAGTAACAATAACAACGGTACACGTTTACTGATCACTTATCTAAGGCATCCACTGGGCTGTGTCTAAACGGGTGGTGGGAGGCCCGATTTGTGATCCTGCCTCCGTGTGTATTTGGCCAAATCCTTTCCCTACTCAGCGCCTCATTTTATTCACCTGAGAGTGGACTCAGTCATTCCTAACCCTTTAGCAAGGCTGACAGCACCCATGCTCTTGTGCTATGACCTGTGGATCGAGCAAATTGCTTGCGTGAACTCAGCAAAGCGGGCTGAGTGAGCGCACAGCCTGCCTGGGTGAAGATCCTGCCTCTGGGACTCTTTCCGCTGTGGGACCTTTGAAAGTCACTTAACCTATCTGTGCCTCATTTTCCTTCTCTGTGAAATGGGGATGACAATACCCAGCGCATAGGGTGTGGTAAGGACGAAACGAGTCACTTCATGTGTGTCTGGCCCTACAAATGTGTGTCATAATTATCTCTTCAAAACACAGATTATCTTAGAAATACAACCTATTTGGGTATGTTGATAATCGGGTAAACTTCTCCAGGCTTCAGTTTCCTTCTTGGTGAAAATACAGGTGGTAATAAATACCTCCTTTCCACTCGGCAGGCGTTCCCTGGAGGCAAACCCACAGAAGATAGGTCCATAGAGCATTTTGCTCTCCACTTAGAAAAGTGCTACATAGTCACAAGATCTGTACTAGAAGCTTATTCCCTATTCAACCCAGCCCTGGGAACTGTACAACAAAGAGAGGGAAACAAAACTTGGCAGTGAGTTGGCTGAAATTGTGAGGCCGCAGGATGGAGGGTGGAGGGTTAGGCACATAGCAAGCATCCTGACCATCGTTCTAGGGAAACACAACATCCCGCTGGGATGCAGTCTCCCCACCCTGTCTGGGCTCACAGGGAGGAGGGGCTGGCTGTGAGGAGGTATTGTCAAGCGCACCAGCTCTCAGCTGGGAAGCCACAGTGCTCGGCTAATAATAATGTGCTTCATTACAGTGAATAAAAATACTCACAATATCTGATGTTTATTCAGGGCATTTTATCCCGGGGCCCTTTCTGCTCTGCAATAAACAGACAGTGGAGTCATTTCACCCACTGCTGAGGTGGAGCGAAGCAGCTGCTAAACAGCTGCTCTGGAACACACACCAGAGAGCAGAGAAGATTCCAAGTCCGTGTGAGATGGACAGAACATAATGACCCAGACTCTCCCAGTATCTGAGCAGCCCACACCGCATCCTCACTTCCTCCCAGCTTGGCACCTGCAGACCCCAGGTGGCTTCCGTTAGGCCAGGCGTTCACAGCAATGCTGAGTATTTGGGTTACGGCCATTAATGGAAAAAAATCCTCACAGGCTGCAGGTTGCTGCGACAGAGGAGACTCTTCTGGAGTCTGTCCTATGGAGAGTCACTTACTGGAGTTCAGGCTGCCCCATGGGGCAGAGGGATTCCTAAAAGGAGACTTTCCAGGTTCCAGGGCAAGGGTCTTTCTGAGAGCAGAGAACTAAAGAGAAGTCTTCTTGAAAATCTCACATATGGTTTGAGTTTATATCTTGCACTCCACGTAAACCATCCTCTTCCCTGACTCCTTCGAGGAGATGGATTGGATTGAAATCCAAGGATGAGATAGGCTTTGGCTGCCTAGCTCATCAACCAAAGTAACCGGGAT